CTATACAGCCCTGGCCATCCTAGAACTCGCTCTGTAGACCAGGTCGGCGTCACACTCACAGAGACCCACCTGCCTCTGCCTCCGAGTGCTGGGTTAAAGGTTTGAATCCCACCATGCATGGCTGTGTCTGCCTTTTAAAAAAACTTTATTTTATTTTACGTATATGGGAGTTTCGCCTACATGTGTGCCTGTGTACCACATGGGTACAGTGTTCACAGAGACCAGAATGGGGCATTGGATCCCCTAGAACTGGAGTTACAGATGTGAGCAGCCAGGCAGGTGCTGGGAATTGAACCCAGCCAGTGCTATTTTTTTCTTTTTCTTTTTCTTTTTTCTTTAGGTGTTTTGAGACAGGGTTTCTCTGTGTAGCCCTGTCCTGGAACTCACAGGCTGGCCTGCCTCTGCCTCCTTAGAGCTGAGATTAAAGGCGTGTGCCACCACCGCTGGGCTGCAGCCAGTGCTCTTGACCATTGATTCATCTCTCCAGTCCCTGGCTTTTTATGTGGGTTCAAATATTCAGTCAAGATACAAGTCTTCATGTAAAGAAGACTCGCAGCTCTGTCCTCAGGGGTAGCCAAGGAGACGCCCGTGGGTTGCAGGGCAGCTAATCCAGCAGAATGTGGACCATCTTCAACAAGTCCTACTGCTGGTTGATATTTTAATTTTATCCTCATCAATGCTAAGAAGGTTACACCCCATAAACGAACACACACACCCATGTCTACGGAGTCCTGCACCCAGAATTACATCCTGGGGCTGAAGGAGACCCTCGATGCTGTGGGAGAGAACTGTGGGTTCAGAGGGCACTGAGAATGGGGGAGAAGGAAAAGGACAGTCACGTCGGGGTGTGGCTTTGGAAATGGAGTGGCCTCACCTTGCGGTCCAGGTTAATGGGCTTCCCCACGAGGGGCAGGGTGATGAGTTTCTTGGTGCCTTGGCTCCAGGCTCCAGAGAAGAATTCAGCTAGCACGCCGTGTCTCTTGGATCTCTCAGGTCCAGACAGGTATCGAACCTGGATCACCTTGGACAGCTGTCTGTGGAGAAAGGGCACAGACTCAGGGGACAGCACAAGCGCAGAGACCGTCTGTCCACTCCACGTCCTGTTTTCACTTAATGCTGCTCTCTAAAATGGCCTTCTCTTTTGTTTCTCTTTCTCTCTTATAAAGTTTTGCTTTTGCTCAGGTGGTGGTGGTGCACACCTTTAATCCAGCACTGGGGAGGGAGGGGCCAGCTTGGTCTACAAGAGCTAGTTCCAGGACAGGCGTCAAAGCTACAAAGAGAAACCCTGTCTTGAAAAAACAAAACAAACAAACAAGTTTTGCTTTTGAAGGTATTGAGATGACTCAGTGGCTTGGTGCTGAGCCTCATGACTGGAGTTCGATCCCTGTCATACATTGCGGAAGGCGAGAATTCACTCCCACAAGTCTTCTGACCTCCAGAGACACCATGGCACACACCCACACTTACCTGGCCACAGACATAATAAATAAATGTAAAAAAGAACCTTTGCTCTGGTGCGGTGGGTGGTGCAAGACTGTCATTGTAGCTACTCAGAAGCAGGGGGTCACAGGTTGAAGTCATGCGTGGCCGGACTGAATTGGGAGCTCCAGACCAGTCTGGGCACCTTAACAAGACATCATGGCAAATCAGAAAGCAAAAAGAGGCCGGGAAGATGGCTTTGTGGACAAAGTGTGTATTGTGTAAGCATGAGGACCCGAGTTCATATCCCCAGCACACATACAAAAGCCTGGTGACGTGGGAAGGACTGGCGGTCGCAGCGTTTGAGAGGGAGCAGAAGTGGGAGGAGTCTAGGAGGCCGGCTCGCTGTGCAGCCATTGCGGCTGAACTGAGAGACCCTCTCTCCAAATACTGGGTGAAGAGTTATGGAGCTCAAATCTGAGATCAACCTCTGTCCTTCATAACCACACACACACGTGAGGGTACCACAGACAAGTGCGTGCGCACGCGCGCACACACACACACACACACACACACACACACACACGGGGGGAGAGAGAGAGAGAAAGAGAGAGAGAGAGAGAGAGGAGAGGAGAGAGAGAGTAAAATCAAGACCAGGACAGTGGTTCAGGGGTGGAGCCCCTCCCTAGAATCCCATGCACATCATACAACATTCACACAAACACAAAACAGACAAATTAGGTAGGTAGCGTTTACACTGGGACTGGTGTGTGCTGGATTGCTTGACTACCTCAGAACGGGAAGTCAAGGATTTGATTGGGAGTCTTTGCTCTCAGGGTCCCATGAAGGCAGTGTCCCCTCTCAAGGCCTACCTGTGGGCGATGGTCAGCAGCGTGCAACCATCCACGGGCCTCCTGTTCAAGCAGTGTCCCAGGTCCCGTCGGAGCCGCACCCACAGCAGCGGCGGAAAGCGCAGGAGCTCCTTGCTGGGTGGTGTCCAGTCCTGGTACACAGCCTGCAGGACCTCATCATCCAAAGACAGCACATCCTTCAGCTCCGCCTCGGACAGACCGTACCTGTGGGGCAAGGGGCAGCACAGCACTGTGACGGCCCTGTGAAGAGGACGCGCAGGGACCGTGTGTGCAGCCCAGACCACTGCAGACGCTCACTGTGACCGCCCAGCATGGTGACACACTTTGTTATCCCAACACCGGAGAAGTGGAGGCAGGAGGTTTGGGAGCTCAAGGTCATCCTTAACTACATAGTGAGTACCAGGACAGCCTGTTCTACATGGGAATCTGTCTCGTGTTTTCTGAGACAGGGTTTCTCTGTGTAACAATCCTAGTTGTCCTGAAACTCGCTCTGTAAACCAGACTGGCTTCGAACTCACAGAGATCCGCCTGCCTTGCCTCCTGAGTGCTGGGATCAAAGGCGCATACCATTAATGCCCTGCTCAACATGCAGAGTGCCACACAGGCTGACTAATGCCAGTTTTTGCCCCACTGTGTCTTATGCTGCCAGTCGTGGGACCTGGGTTTGATAGGCAACTCTAGGGTACATTCCTGGAGCCAGCTAGAAGGTGGTTTCCCCAGCTTTATAATGGAATGATGCTCTTGTTTCTTTGTGTTTGAGACAACATTTTGCTCTGTAGCCCAGGCTGGCCCAGAGCACACCAACCTGCTCTCTTGGCTTCCCAAGTGCTGGGATAACAGGCATGTACTGTCAGGCCTGGCAAACTGTAGTTCTTTAATTCTATTTATCTTTCCATGTTTCATGTGTGTCTGGTGTGCATCTGTGTAGGCTGGCATGTGGGAGCTCAAGGCTGATGACAGAAATCCTCAGTGGCTCAGCCACCTTATTCTCCGAGACAGGTCTGTCAGTCAAGGCCAGAGCTCACCGGTGTGGCTATGTGGCTAGTCTTGTTACTCAGCTTATGCTGGGATCCCATCTTCAACTTGCAGGGAATCACAGGCAGACTCCATGCCTGTGTGCCATGTGTGTGGCTCTAGGGACCCGAACACTGCTCTTCATATCTGGACAAGCATTCCCCCATGGAGCAACCTCGGCTTCCAGGGGCTTATCCGCTAATGTTGATGAGTGGATTTGTTACACACACACACACACACACACACACACACGTCCATACACATACATGTGAACTCACAAACATGTGCTCCCACAAACCAGGTATGCATACACACACATGCACACCCCTTCCAAACTGGGCTGATCACTGCCATTTTGAATTTCTAGCGATAAAGACCTTAAAGGGCACAGCCCAAGAATGTACACATCCCCGCAGGAAAGATGACGGCTCACACACTAAATAAATAAATAAAGACAGACCCAGAGGCTCTTCTGTTTTTACCTCTATATAAGATGTCTACAAGGCCAGGCTGTGGTGGTGCACGCCTTTAATCCCAGCATTTGGGAGGCAGAGGCAGGTGGATCTCTTGAGTTCGAGGCCAGCCTGGTCTACAGAGTGAGTTCCAGGACAGGCTCCAAAGCTACAGAGAAACCCTGTCTTGAATAAACAAACAAGAGGAAACAAAACAACAACAGAAGATGTCTACGAAATGTCTGTTAACTGTGGAGTGGGAAAAGACCCTCACCATAATTCAACCATTGCCAGCACCACCACCCCGCAATGCACGGGACAGCAGACTGGAGTGGCTGCTGGAGCCCCTCTGTGAAAAGGTTTGGTACCTGCAGAGAGCCTGAGCTCACGATTCATCCACACTGTGCTCTGGATGTGAACACACAGTCGCTAGACCGTGTCACTTAAGGAGCAACGTCCCCAAAACAAGGCTCGAACGTGCTCAACACAGGTTTTGACAATTTACTGGGTTCTGCTGGTTTGGTGTTTTTGTTTGTTTTCAACACAGGGTTTCTCTGTGTAGCCCTTGCTGTCCTGGAACTCACTCTGTAGCCAAGGCTGGCCTCAAAAACTCACAGAGATCTGCCTGCCTCTACCTTCCGAGTGCTGAGATTAAAGGCGTGTGACACCACTGTCCAACTGGTTTGGGTTTTGTTTATTTATTTGATGTGTGTGTGTGTGTGTGTGTGTGTGTGTGTGTGTGTTTCCTGGGTGAGTTTATGCACCCCACACACTTGCCTGATGGCTACAGAGGCCAGAGAGGGCATCAGATCTCCTAGAACTAGAATCAACCTAACCCTGACCCAATAGTTGTAAGTTGCAAAATACAGGGCCCAGACCCTGGTCCTCTGCAAGAGAAGCACATGCTCTTAACATCTTAGCCACCTCCCCAGCCCATTCTCCTCCACCCCCACTTATTTATTTAGTCTGAGACATCTCATGTAGTCCAGGCTAGCTTCAATCTCACTATGTATCCAAGTATAACTGAATTCCTGATCCTCTTGCCTCCACCTCCCAGGTGTGCACCACCACGTCTGGTCCAGACAGTGTTGGGATGGAATCCAGGCCTTCGTGCATGTTAAACATGTTAGACAATGCTCTCCCAACTAAACCACAGGCACTCTATCCACTGAGCTGTGCGCATTCTGCCCGCCGAGCTCGAAGAACTCCATCTTCAGCTGAGCCTCAAGCTCTCCACCCAGTGGGCTTGGGCAGAAGCGGAAGCGCTGCCCAAGTTTCTGAACCAGCAGTCAGTTGAGGCCCTGGGTATGGCTCCTACACCTAGAAAATTGACTGTTTCTTACTGTTGAGCCTGGCCAAGGGACTTTGTCGTAGCAACAAAGGGACTAAGAAATTGAAGACCTTTTAGGACTGCGTGGTTTTGAGTGTGTCGTGTCTCCCACACACAGTTCCTAGTTGATTTGGGAGTTGTGGGTCATCTTTGGAAGGTGGAGCCTGGCTGGCAAAAAAAAAAAAAATTCGATGGAACAGCCTTGAGGGTTACCACAGCTTCTGGCACCCCTGTCTTTCCTGCCTGCCATGCGTGAGGAGTCTGGGCCACGCTGTCACTCATTCAACCCCCAGCCAGACATGATCCTAGGTCAGGGTCAAGAGAGGGAGGAGTTATAAGGAATGTGCTGACCATCGTGACTATGAAGCTAGAGTGGAGCTCAATCAATACAGTGCCTGTGGCACCGTGTGAGGACCTGGTCTCCATCCCCAGTGGCAGAGAAACACTGAGCATGCCAGCAGAGACGGATGGCTCCTTGGCATCTGCTTGGTGAGCCCAATGCCAGAAAGAGCTGTATCTCAAAACAAAAAAAAATTTAAAAAGACAGACCTTGCCTGAGAGACGATAGCATGGTCCTGCCCCCACCACACGTGTGCACACGGACACATTTGCTGTGTGCTCTATATCACGTTCTGTGACTGATTTCTTGAATTTTATGATTGCCCCAATTTGGGTTTCAGACTGTCCTTAGCAGCTTGGGGGAAAACTTAGGAGGAAAAGAAATGGCGTCCACGGGAATGGATGTCTCAGACAGCTCTGGGACAGTGTGTTGTGGGCGATGGACCCACAGATCATACATAACAGATGCGCAATATGTGATGCATGCTGGTGTAAGTAGTTCATAGAAGATGACAGATGATACAGACAGTCGGAATATGGAGGTGATGGATGAGGGAAAGACAGAGGCAAGGAGAGGAGGGACGGGGGAAGCTGGTGAGTCCACGGGAGCAGGAACTTCACACTGCCCACTCAGCTGCCGGGATGTGTTGTGTTCCGTCTCAGATGGGCAGCGGTAGCCCCGATGAAGTCAAGCCAGAGCACCGCTCCGCCCCTCCCTCTGCACAGCGTGTCTCTGGGGCTTCTGTGCAGAGGCTGAGTTGCCCTTCATGCCATTGGTACAGTCAGTTATAAATGTCAAATTATTTTTAACTACCAATTTTACAAAAAAATACTCCAGGGGCTGGGGAGCTGGCTGGAAGTGCACAGTGCCTGCCGCACAAGCATGAGAGTTTGAGCCCCCACATCTCTGTAAAACGTGGGCACAACAGTGCATGTGTCCTGTGGGCGAGATAGGGAATAGGGACAGGGAGTCGGCAGAAGCTTGCAGGTTAGCTGGCCGGAGCACATGGAGGCAACGAAACCCTGTCTCCAGCAAGGGTTACACACAGGACTGCCCACTGTCCACTATAATGTACCATACTCCACAGTACACACATGCATGCCCACAGACACACACATACACACATGCAGATACAACCACATGTACGTGCATACACACATGCATATAAACACAAATTCTATCTATCTATCTATCTATCTATCTATCTATCTATCTATCTCTATCTATCTATCTATCTATCTATCATCTATCTCTCACGCACATGAAGGGATCTTCGTTACACTCACTACAAGGTGATTGTGCATTGATAGACAGGATTGTCTGAGATGACAGAAAAATCAGATACCCTGCTGTAATGATTACAAACTACATATGTCTGAAACATCAACCCACACCTCATAAATACACGTGGTTATTTTCTGTCAGTTAAAAAATGAGTTAGGGATGGAGAGATGACTCCGTAGGTAGGAGCGCTTGCTGCTCTTGTGAAGGACCTGGCTTTGTTTTCCAGCCCCCACATGCAGCAGCTCACAGACCCTGACACTTTTTCTGCTCTCTGCAGGCACTAGCATGCATGTGCACAAGCCCCACCTCCGACACATTCATTCACACAAATAAAAGTAAGACAAACCTTTAAAAAATGAATCGATCTGGGTATGGTGCGCACACACTTAATCCCAGCACTCGGGAGGCAGAGGCAGGAGGGTCTTTGTGAGTCCCCTCCTACATGGAGAAACTATCTCAAAAATAAATAGGTAGAGAGACAGATAGACGAACAGACAAAGAGACAGATAGACAGATTTAAAAACAGAGAAGATAATAAAGGAATATAGTACAACTCCAATACCAAACCAGGGGTAAAAAATAGTCACATAATCATCTCCAATCAGCAGCAGAGGCCAGGATGAAGAGACAGCCCTTATAATAAAATATCTTTGCCACCCATGCCACCCGCAGCACCCATGCCACCTGCTTGCTGCTTACACTCAGCTGGCTTGTCTCCCTCCCACACGGCCCAGGCCTAGCCCATGGACACTGTTACTGTGCTCTGTCAGGTCCTCCCTCCTCAACAAACAACCAAGACATGCACGTACACACGCACACATGCATGCATAGAGACATGCACACACACAAACAGATATGCACACACAGACACACACAGAGAGACACATATACAGGCACACACAGAGACGTGTATAGGCACAGAGACATAAACACACATGCATGTGCACACACACAGACATGTACACAGAGACACACATATACACATGTGCATGTGCACACATATACATATGCACCTGTGCATACAGACATGGACACACACACCTGGGCCAACCAGATTCAGACAATGCCTCACTAAGGCTTCCTCTCAGGCAACTCTGCATGTTGAGGCAGTCAAAGTCAACTGCTGGGGAATAACCCTTCTGCACACTGAAATATGCATTGCTCTCATTGTTAATAAAAAGCTGGTTGACTGACAGTTGGGCAGGAAGAGATTAGGCAAGACAACCTGAGACAGAGAGAATGCTGGGACGAAGAGCAGACACAGAGAGAAGTGAGCTGAGCATGCCACACTGAGAAAAGGTACCAAGTCACATAGTAGAGCATAGATACGAAATGTGGGTCAATTTAAATGTAAGAGCTAGCTAGCAACAAGCCTGAGCTATTGGTGAAGCACTTATAAGTAATATTAAGTCTCAGTGTTAGTTATTTGTGAAATTAATGTGGGATTACCCTCTGTATGCTGTGATTACCATTAATTAAAAAAGAAACTGGCTTGGCCTGATAGGGTAGAACAGAGCTAGGTGGGGAAACCTAAACTGAATGCTGGGAGAAAGGAGGCAGAGTTGAAGAGAAGCCATGGAGCCTCTACTGGAGACAGACACACTGAAACTTTGCTGGTAAGCCACGACCTTGTGGTGATGCACAGATGAATGGAGATGGGTTAAATTAATATGAAAGAGCAAATAAGAAGCTAGAGCTAATGGGCCAAGCAGTGATTTAAATAATCGAGTTTCTGTGTGATTATTTCTAGAGTTTGGGCAGCTGGGAAATGAACAAGTGGCCTTCTTACAAAAGGAAATGTCTGCTGGGACAGGAAAACTCTGCCTACAGCCAACCACCACAGCTGTGAGGGGGTAAGCTACATGCAAAAAACCAACCACCAGCATCGTACAAGTGCCAAGTGGACAAGCGTGCCACTCTCTCTTCTCTCTAACAGAGTTTGCAGTCTTGGCCAGAGCAATATAAGATGAACATGATTGTGTGTGTAAAAGACCCTAAGACAGGACATTACTGGAGTTGACCAACACTTTCAGCAAAGCAGCAAGCTACAAAATCAACACACAGGGCTGGGCTGAGGCTCAGCCCTACAGCATGTGCCTAACCTCCACAAAACACTGGTTCTCTCCAAATCCCTGTAGGAAAGGAAGGAAGAAGGGCTGCCCATAGCTTGGTAGAAAGAGCCTCTACTCTGGGAGTGTTAGGTACTTAGTGGGAATCTGCAGCATCCACGCAAAAGGATGGGTGTGGCTGTGAGGGTGTGGCCATAACCCCAGCTGGGTCAGTGAGAGACCCTGTCTTGAGGAAATAATGTTGAGAGTGAAAGAGCCAGGTACTGCGTCTTCCCCTGGCTCTGCAGGCACGCACCACACACATGTACCCGACCAACAGAAAAGGAGAGGTGGAGGGAAGGGAGGGGAGGGAGAGAGGGAGAAAGGAAAGAAGGAAGGAAGGGAGGGAGGAAGGGAGGGAGGGAGGGAAGCACACAGGAGGGAGGAGGAAGGAAGGCACACAAGAATGCTGGCAGATTTACCTGGAAGACACAATGTAGCCCAGCACATGGGCCACCAGCAGCTGCCCGTGTGTCTCCTCCAGGCGGATGCAGAGCTGGTGTGTGGCTTCCTCAGCACTGATGGCCAAGGGCACTGGCACAGTGAAGGAAGCCCATTTTCGAGCCTCCTCGAAGGCCAGCCGTAGCCGCCCTGGGTGGCCGCATTCTGGGAGGCTGGCCCAGAGGATATCCCTCTGACCCGGACTTAGTGTCCTCCTTTCTGCATGCAGTAGCAACTGGATGAACTCCTGTCCTTGGCACCCAGACAGGGCCTTCACCTCCCAGTAGGCACTGGGGTCCTTGAGGGTCTGTCGCAGGGTATGTAACACCTGCTGGTCTGAGCATGCAGAGAGGATGATGTGTACCCTTGGGGGACACTTGAGGGGCAGCCAGGAAATCCTCTGAGAATGGCGTGTGAAATCCAGATCATCCACTGAGTCCAGGAGCAGCACCAGGGACTCAAAGTTCCTATGGGACACCGTGTGGAGGAGGGTGTGAAAGAAGTGGCCCACCCTGGCATGGACTTCCAGGACCTGGGTTGGGGGCAGTGGCAGCCCATAGGCCAAGCACAGCTGGAAGGACAGGCTCTTGAGGAGGCTTCGGGCATCCAGGCTCATCGTTGATGTACCTAACAGCCTCAGGACAGTCACCGTCTTGTGGCCGAGAAGCCCTGGTACCTGCTCAGCTAGCTTGCACATGAGGGAGGTCTTCCCGATGCCAGGAGGTCCAAAGAGAACCAACGGAGTGTGGGGCCAGCAGTCATCTTGTCTGAGCCGCTGCCCCAGCTGAGCCAGGAGCTCCTGCCGGCCGCAGAAGATTCTGGCGGACTCTGCACCCCGCCAGAGGTGGTGGCGGATCTCCTGGTAGAGCCAGCCCAGCTCCTGTCTGCCTGACTCTAGCTCTCGCAGTTGCTCCAGGACTTGATGGTTGGTCCTGGCCACGAACTGCTCGCTTAGCTCCTTCAGGTAGCGAGCGTGGGCCTTATTCTTGGGATTGACCAGGTCTCGACTCCAGGGCAGGCGGTGGGACTTTAGGGCTCCAGGCTGAGCATCCAGGATGCGCCCCTTGAGGCCGCTGAGAAGACTCTGGGCATCCGTGTCCAGGCAGCCGTCTGCCAGCCGATCAACCATCTTCAGAGAGCAATCATCCAAGATGTGTTTACTGAGGTCCTGCACATCTCTCAGGAAGACAGTGGCTCCCTGGTCCCCTCGTGCTGAGCTCAGGAGGCCCTGCTCAATCTCCCACTCAATGACTGCAAAACAGAGAGAACAAGAGGAGGGATCATCAGGGTCACTGAGGCCTGTGAGGGGTTTTGGGATGACAGGTTCCAGAGGGACACAAGCTGTCAAGGTGAGCAAGTGCGACTGTCGCTTGGGGTAGCTTGCAGAAGCCCACGGGGGATATGCACTTGTGTGTGTGTGTGTGTGTGTGTGTGTGTGTGTGTGTGTGTGTGTGTAGACCAGAGGCCAGCCTCTTCGGTGTTATGACAGGAGCTCAGTGGCAAGCCAGCCTACCCGAAACCACAAACTTCCAGTTCAAGGAGAGACTTGGTCTCAAAGGAATCAGATAGACAGTGACCAATGACAACGCTCATGTCCTGCTCCGGCCTCCATGTACATGTACCCGCACAGCCGTGTGCACAGCACACGCACAGCACAAACATCCACAGCTGGGCAGGGTGGGAATCAGTTCTTTCCCTCTACCATGAGGTTCACTGGGAATGAACTCAGATCACTGGGGGTGGTGGCAAGACCTTCACTTCCCGGGTCACATTGTTGGCTTAGCATACAATGCTGTCAGCCAGCCTGGACCACACAAGGAGACAGCCTTGAAAGAAAAAAAACCATGAAAGCCAGCCGGTGTGTGACTCCATTGATGAGACATCCAGATCAGGCATGTGTGTAGACAGTTAGCCTTCTGCAGCTGGGCCAGGGAGCAATCCTCCTACTAAGGTGATAGAATCTTCTGGAACTAGACTGAGGTGGCAGTACACAGCATGGTGAATATTAAACTGTTTGCTTTCTAAATGGGGTTTTCAACTCTGTGAGTGT